TATCTTGATAAGAGTTAGCACAAAGGATCAAATATAAAGTGTAATAAACTTAAAATAAGACCCAAAACTCGAGCACTTTCAAATAGTTGACTTTTCTTCTTCACTATATTAGATCAGAAATGTGTTTGTAAATAAAAAAAATGTTTTCAATTATTACTAAAGCTTTTTTTGGTCTCTGTTGCTCTAAGAAAATGGTTCTCAATGCAGTGGGTATTTTTGTTTTCAATAGTATGGCTGTTTTAATCTACAAATTTGATATTTATATTAGTTTATTTTATGCATGAAAACTTAGCAGGTTTATTGCAACCAATTTCATAGTACTTTACAAACCTTGCAATAAAAGTGATTAGGTTTCCAGTCCCAAATGGATTTGATGAGCTAATGATTAACAGTTTGGGGTAAAAAATGGAGACTGGTAGAGAAGAATCTCATTATGTAAAGTTGATAGGTTCATGAATCCATAATTATTGTACAGATTTAGCATTTGAAAATAAAAATTATTATTGAATAATGTTATTATATTTCATCTACTGTTCAAAACACTTAAACTTTACACAATTTGAGTATAGCTAAAAAAGAATAAAAAAGACCTTTGTACATTTTAAGCATTTGTTGTATACTTTCTTCAACATCATTACTGAATATAGTTTTTGGTTTTAATATCTTTGATGACAAGGAACCCACTTTGAGAGATGAATATATATATATACAGTATGAAACAAAGAGGTCACATGACAGAAGATTGCTTCACAGCCTTGTAAAGGTATCCTGGTACCCGGAGGTGTTGGTTTAGGGTGTGGCAGTTTTGTTCAATTAAGATAGCTTCCTTTATTCAGTGTTTATTGATGTTTGGTTCTCTGTTTAAAAGTACAGTGTCTTGTATAGATATAATGTGTTTTTTTGAGTTGCAATGGTTTTAAAATTATGTTTGGTGAATCTGGTTTCCAATTTCTCCAATGTAGAATTCTGGAATGTTATTGCACATCGTTTTATAAGATAATATTAATATTGTGTAATTCTATGCAAATTTTATTTAATAATGATTTTAGTTTAGAGCCTAAAATAAAAATTACATAGAGTTACAATATCAATGTAAAAGTTACTTTTAATATTTTTTATATAAAAAATTAAAGCATATTTAGGAAAAATACCAAAAATATTTACTTTTGATATCTTAGAGCAAATTATGCTTATGCTTTTAAATTAAAAAATGTCTATATAAAGTAGTTGTTAATAATAAAATAAGTGTTATATGTACTAGATAAAATATCTTTAATTACAGTTATATCTTGTTTATTCTTTATTAACAGTTAAAATCTTGTGAGTTTTTATTATTATATGTTAAATTTGTAATAGAGATAACATGTAGAGTAGATCATAGGAAAAGCACATATTTTATATCACCAAGATTGGCAGTGAAGGTGTAAATGATGCCTGGGATGGATGGGGTTGTTGCATGAGGAGAGGTTGAAATCTCTGAAATTGTTTTCTCTTGAAGAAAGAAGAGGTGATCTGATTAAGGTGTTTAATATTGTAAAGGGAATTGATAGTGTTGATGCATCATCTTTTTTCATACTTAATAGTGAGAATAGTAGGACTAGGGGACACAAAATATATATTTTGGCAAGGTAGGAGTCATCTTCAGCTAAGATTTTATTTTTCTAACAAGTTGGTTGGCTTTTGGAATGGGTTGCCTTCAGATGTTGTGGAATCAGTAAATTTAAGAGAGAGCTTTATAAGTATATGAATGATAAGGGCTGGCTTTAAGATAAAAAAATATTTATTAATAGTTTGATTTAATTTAGAACATGGAACAGCCAAGATGGACGAATAGGTCCCACGTTGTTCCAAAATGTTATGTTAATTAAGTTTGAAGTAATACCTACAATTTATTTGTAAGCCACTAATGAACAAACTTAATGTAATAATTATGTTGATTATTTTGTAGATGATAAAATTCTAATGGCTGCCAGTTATCTTCCAGTTTTTGTTGTTTTTTATCACTCAGAAAATCCTTCAAATATTTGAATTGCATTTTTAAATTGTAAGATACCTATATGAGCAAGCTTGTGCAATTATTTATAGGGGCAGTGTGAATTATTTGCAATATGGATGAAATGAAAAAACACAGCTTTATAATTATGACAAATATTTTTTCTCATTAATCTAGGTTAAAACTTAGTTTGAGTCTGCTTGAGTGTTAATGCTTAGAACTTTATTTATTTTGATTATTGGTGAATATATAGAATATTGGGGAACTCTTGAAATACACACAATCGGGCGTTTGACAGTGAGGTTCATTTTTCTTTTCCAATGACAAGGGAAATGCCTCCCCCTCCCAATTCGAACACTTGTTTAAATAAAATAATTAGAACACGAAAACTCAAGAAAAGTAAATAAAATTATACGTAGGAAACTCATTTTAACATAAAGTTGATGGGTTTTATTTTGCAAATTTAAAGTATTCAGTTGATAACAGTGACCTTTGACGTACATTATGCAAACTATAAAATGGATGAATTATTTTCAAACCATGGATAAAAATATTGTTTGATTGGAATGGACAAGTTATTCACTAATCAAGAGATTATTACACGTTTATATCGGTCACATTGCAAGAAAGCTGTCTCAGATTTTAGGTAAAAAATTTAATGCATTTGTTAATAAGTTTTCACGACGTTTAATTATTCTTCATGTATTTGCAAAAATTTAAAATATAAACGCTGCTTACTTTTGGATCATTCTTGCACTATGGAACAGAAAGACAGCATAAATTACTTATCCTAATCTTGGTGTCATTCTGAACACGTCCTATGCTTGTTTCCCAAATTATATACTGTTTCTTGATCGTCGCAAAGTTTTTTATTATACCAAATACGATAACATTTTCTCTGACAATAATCCTTGTCCCTGATTGGACTTTCGAAGTTGATCTATTAATATACTGATTAAATTATCACTGTATCAGTCTTGTATAGCTTTAGGCAGCAGAACAGCGTTTTTCAATAAGGCCCAATCGATACAAGTCAGCAGTTGTTTTGCTTATATGTTTTTGTGTGAAAAGGGGTTGTTGTTTTTGTAATGAAGCACAATTACATAGTAATTAAATCATCACTTTATTCTTGTTATCGTTACGTACTTAGTATCGAGTAGTTGTCTTCTTTTCATAAACTCTGTCTAAACGTATCCTTGTCTGAAGCAAATAACTTAATAAGGGCTTCTTTTCACGTGTTCTTCATTGAACAATAACTAACCCTAATACATCAACAGAAATAACGTCCTCTAAATTTTATAGGCTAAAAATTTTGAATGCAGAACTTGGAAAGGAATCGAAGAATATATAAATAATTGAGAAAAATTATATACCAAACAAGAATACAAGTTACAGAGAAATATCAAGTCCTACCAGAATGTGGTTGCACGTTTTGAGAAATACAAGTTCAGTACAGAAAATGGCACAATGCAGTGACAAAAGTGAAATCCAGTGGGAAGAGAAATTTACATCCGGTAACATTTCCGATGCTTTCCTTTACAACCGGAACACTCGCAATCCTTAGGTATACTGGTCTTCATTAATCCTTTGCGTTTTCTGCTTCTGCAAACCATGAAGATGGCCTGTACCGCCACTAGCAGAACTAGTGCTGCGATACCACCAACGATTATGTAAACAGTAATGTCTTCGCTAGATTTTGTCCCTGTGAAAACACATTTTAAATCACGTAATTTTTAAGAGGGATCTTCCTTTAAAATAAGATTATATATCGCACTTTTAAATTTCAACATTTTAAAGTACGTTGAAGAAATTATATATCCACGAATTTTAGTATTCAGTTAAGCATAATAATTAAAATAACGTTCTTAGTTAATTGAAGAAGGGGTAAAAAATGTTTTTAATGTAGTTCCTTATAAACTTTAGAATTCAGACATTTGTGTACTTCTACAAATCAAAGCACAAACGCAAAGGTTATGGAAAATTCACAACTGATGTTTAGATTAAATACAGTTAAAAAGAGGGAGAAAATCAAACGGTTTCTCAAAGACTTAAAGATAGTTATTACTTTTCTACGCGAAATCAACTTAAAAGGCTATATAAGTCGTCAAGAA